AGTTTGTCGATAAGAATATCATGCGAGACCGTATCAAATGCCTTACATTCTGTCCTGCCCCCTCCCTTCTACCTGCCCCCCCGCTCTGTCCTGACCCCTCCATTCTGTCCTGACCCCCGCTCTGTCCTGACCCCCCGTCCTGCTCCCTCCATTCTACCTGCCCCCCCGCTCTGTCTGACCCCTCCATTCTGTCCTGACCCTCCCCCGCTCTGTCCTGACCCCCCGTCCTGACCCCTCCATTCTACCTGCCCCCCCGCTCTGCCTGACCCCTCCATTCTGTCCTGACCCTCCCCCACTTTGTCCTGACCCCTCTGTGCTGCCCCCCTCCCCGGCTTTGCACTAATTCTGCCCCCTGCCCGCAGCGCTGCAAGGACCGCCTGAACTCCCTGGCCATCTCGGTGATGAACCAGTGGCCGGGGGTGAAGCTGCGGGTGACGGAGGGCTGGGACGAGGACGGGCACCACTCGGAGGAGTCGCTGCACTACGAGGGCCGAGCTGTGGACATCACCACCTCCGACCGGGACCGCAACAAGTACGGCCTGCTGGCGCGCCTGGCCGTGGAGGCCGGCTTCGACTGGGTCTACTACGAGTCCAAGGCCCACATCCACTGCTCCGTCAAGTCAGGTAGGGCCGGGGGCCGGGCTGGGCCTGCTCGTGGGCATGTGGCCGTGGTACCCCAGAGCAGGGAGCCGGGGGCACCTGCTCAGCTGGCACCAGCCCTGGGGCTGGCACCACAGGCCCAACTCCCCTGAACCCCCTGGTCCCCTCCCTCGCCCACCCCCCACTCCAGTGCCCCCATCACCATGGGCACCCCCCCCGCACTCACCCACTCCAGCCCATAGCTTCCCAACAGCCCTGCCCCCACCAAACTCCCCCAGCTGTGCCACCCACCCTGCCTGCCCTGCATCCCGCTCCCCCTGTGCTGTCCTACCCAGCGTACCCTCGCCCTAGGCTCCATCCCCCCTTTAGTCCCCCTCGCCGCCATCCCATCCCCACCTGAACCCCCCCAACCCATCCAGCACCGTCTCCCCCACACACTTATTCCACCTCGGGCTCTGCTCACGCCCCTGCCCCCGCTTCCTCTGCCCAAACATCAGAGCCACACGGCACCTCCCCTGCCCCCTTTGGGTCTCTCCATCCCATCCCTCCTGCTCCCCCCCAACCTGTGCAGGGAAGACAGCGGCTCCCTGGCCGTGGGGAGATGGGAGGCAGGGGCTGGTTGCTCTGGGGTGATAACAAACAGCTCGGGGTAGAGCTCAGACATGGCATCTCGAAACATCCCAGCTTGGCAATGTCTGCTCAGGGGGGAAACTGGGCTGGGCTAGCAGGGGCTGCAGGTCGGGAGTGAGGGGCACCGGCAGAGCTGGGGGGAGGGACAGGGCAGGCAGGGGGCTGCAGATCGGGAGTGAGGGGCACCGGCAGAGCTG